ATTGTGTGGGACCCGATCAAACGCATTTTCCGTGTCCAGGAAGATAATAACCAGTGCCTGACCTAGGTCGATGGAGTGTGTCACGTGGTCTAAGAATTCAAACTGGCAGGTTTGACAGGATTTAGTCGGTAGAAACCCGTGTTGGGACCTATTGATAAGGTTGCGGGGCAACAGAAAGCAAAGCATCGCGTCCTTTATTATTTTTTCCATGAGTCGAGACGCAATAACTGTGTGACTAATGGGATGATAATTGTCAATATTTAGGCGACAGCCTTGTTTGTGTAGATAAATAAATAAATAAATGGATATTTTATTCTCGACAAAGCGAGACACGCCTTTTGGGCATGATCAGCATATTGCATAATTGTACATGATAGCGGAATAAGCAGCACCAACAGTGGGAGTAGTAAAGTTGGAGACAGTAGTGTGGGCCCACAGAGCCCAAAGGTTGTATGTAGTCTATGTACACAGAATGCGAGAGGTAAAAATAGTGATCAGATCACTTATATGGTATGTTGATGAGGAACTAGTCCGATGAGGTCCCGTAAACAATGTAGGTCAGTGAGCGAAGTATGAGAAAACGGGTGAAAAATACTTAAGAATAGTGGTATGTCACTAGTCAGATATGTAGGAGTGTTCGTGCGAGAGCCGATATATGCACAGAACTTGTAAATGTGGTGTCAATCAACTTGCCAATGTGTTAGGGGCGGTGACTTTATTGAGTGGCGAGTCACATCCGCCACGTCGCAGTGTTGTTAAACAGACCTTTGTGGCATTTTGTAGGGAAAACGCTTGCCAGACGAAGACCCACCACGTCCTGGTATGACGGTTGCGTGCTTCCAATTGGACGGGTAGTGACCACTCTTCATTGAGAGGGTTAAGACATTGAGGAGAAGGACTGGAATGTCCGGACCTCCGAGTTTTAAAATGGAAGAAGGCATACCGTCGGGACCTGGATAGTGTGACAGTTTTAAGGAGCGAAGTGCTCGCTTGATATTGCATAAGTCAAAGTCAATAGTATGAATTTGATCTTCAGTAAACTTGGAATCGTATTTGGCAGTGCCAAGTTATTACTAGTGAAGGAGTTACAGAATGTGTGTTAATGAACTTGCAGCGATCAACCGTACCGGTGAGTATACTTTTGTCAGGATGCACTAAGGTAGTAATCGGGATATCCTTTCTGCCACCCCGCTGCTTCAGTAGTCGAATGAGAGACTTTGCTTTGTTTTCAGTACAAAGCGCTGCAGGCTCTACTAATGTACGCGCAGTTCTTTGTGAATTTCTCCAGTCGGCTAGCAATTCGTTCATACGGATGATTAGGTGAAAGCTTTTGGTCTTGATGTAGCGGGAGCGCATTTTCTTGAGCCTGTTAGTCAGTTTGCGTGTAGAGGTGTCATCAAGATCTTGGCGCTTTCTGATCTTCCTCTGTTTAGGAGTAAGGACATCTAAGCAGTTGGTGAAAATGTTGTAAAGCACGTTGGTTGAAAAGTGTGTATCGTAATCCGGATGCCGTACTATTTGATATACTGCGTGCTCTCAAGGAATAATTTGAAGTGCAAGCGGGACCAGTACGGTAGGATTATACCGTGAGTCTTCCTTCTTCGGCGGGTCGTTGAACCAGGAGTTGGCGGATTTTGAAATACGGATGGACCTAAAACAAAACCGCATCACATCCTGCCCAACAAAGTAATTCTCATGTGTCCTGCTCCATCAGTCCTTGTTGGGCCTGTTACGTGAAGTAAGAAAGAGAAAAGTTAAACTCAGAAGGTGAAAGGGCAAGTGGAAAGAGCTAAGCAGGCTGAATATCAAAATATTTGAGTCAATAAAAAGGAACTGAAAGGTGAAGGTGAGTCAGCTGGGAAAAAAGTTTGCTGTTGGAACCCAAGAGCATCGAGCTGGCGCGCACCGTTCCATAACCGCCTGATCTGGAAGCAAATTCCAGCGAAACATAACTCGGCGCGACAGACGAGTTTCCGTCCTTATCCTATCAGACCGCGGTTTATGCAGTTTCAGTGAGTGGCTGCGAAGGTTAGGTAACCTAGTGGGACTAAATAGACCTGACATGTCCGGGTCCACCTTACTAGCTAAAATACGGTAATTGAGAATCAGGTCCCCTCTTATTCCTCGATAGTGCATTCAATACATCCCCAAACCGAGCAGACGTTCAGGATACGTCTGTCTCCGTAGGCCCTACACTAACCGAGTGCCTATTCGTATCAACCTTTCCAAGTCCATTTTGTCTCGGTTAATGTATGGTGGACAAGCGTGAATATAATATTCCAGGTAGGGTCAGCTGAATGCCGAGAATAGCTTCAAAAACAACTTGACCATTTTGATTTCAGAAGAGTGACGGATAACTCACATCCTATGAAACCATCTACAATCAGCCTTCTTCCAGTTGTCTCCAGAATGAGGTGTTAATGCAAGTGCGACGCCTAAATCAACCTGTTGAGTGACACCAGGAGGTTCACCACCGCCGACAACATATCGGGTAAGAGGATTAGCAGCTCCGATTCAGAGAATAGAGCACTTGGTCTAATTAATGGACATCAACCGTTAGGTAGACCAATCAAAGAACCTATTTAAGGCAAGCTTAATTGCCTCAGGAAACTAGGGGGATCCACAATATTCCAGAGCTTATGGTCGTCCGCAAAAATTAGTGGTGATACCCCTAGCTCTCTGGCAAGTCATTTACATAGATCGCGAATCACAACCGTCCTAATACCGTGCCCAGCGGACGCGACTATGGACAGCTCGCCTGAGCGAAAGGCCACGCCCCACCCGTACGTGCTGTTCCCTACCCTAAGGAACGCAGACACCCATTGAAGGGCGCGACCAGGTATCCCGTATGAGCTCAACTTTACTGAGAACCAAAGATGTGGAACAGTGTCAAAATCTTTCGCGAAGTCTACGAATAATACGTCTACAGCATCGCCATTATATGTAGCTTCGACCCAGCTTTCACGAGCTACAAGTAGATTAGACTGACATAAAATTCCCTTGCGGAATCCATGTTGCGCATCACTGAGCACGTTGAAGCTATTCAGGTGGTTTACCACTGAATCCCTTATCGGGTTTTCGAACAACTTGACTACCACGCTTTTCAAACTGACAGGCCGGTATTTCGCGGGGTGAGCGCTGTCACCGCCCTTAAAAATGGGACAGATTTTTACCTTCTTCCATTCCAAAAGTAGGGTGCAGCTGTCCAGCGATATTGGAAACAAGCATGTGGGAGGACCACTCAGCTCAGTGGCCAATTCACGCAACAGCTTCGGATGAACTGATTCAGAATCGGAAGCTTTAGTGTGATTAATGCCTCGCAGTAGCTGGAAGACCTGAGTCTCCGTTATGCTAAATTCAGCTAAGCAAGGATCCTTTAAAAAATTTGAAACCAACTCAACCTGCGGTATACAGTTCGCACGAGCAGCGTCCCTAGTATACTGGTCATAAGTATCCAAGCCTTGTCATAATCAGTTTACCACGGGTCCCGTCTGCTCTCAATAACGTTGGTATAGACAATTTGCCACGCTGCGTCTTTTAACGCAAGCAAGAAAGTTCTTGGGATTAGCTGCGGCCGAGTCCGCTAAATCCCATTCGTACTGGTGAGGAACAGTTCTGAGAAGTTGCTTATATTTATTTCTAGTCTATCGATAACTATCATAGGTACTGGCTGATGAAGCTGCTTGGTAGTTTTTCCAGCATCTAGACCGTTTCTTTAGTAGGTAAGTGCCGGTGATATCTATCTATGGAGGCTGTGCCCTTAACCATCTTTTCCTCTTGAGTGGAATATAGCGCGTGGAAACCACCGTATGGTGCCTTAGATTTATCCCAGGCTAACCGGACAGAGCAAGCCATCGAGATCTCACAGTTCAGAATTAAAGCCTTAGTTCGCATTGCACTAAAGTCGGTCCGCCAAACATTCGGAACTAATTTAACAACGGTCACTTGGTGCCTTGAAATAGCACATCAAAATGATATGCATGCGTGATAGCGGGACCCTAGAGGTGCACCGACTAAAAATCAGTCACCAAGTCGGGGGAATTAGAGATAACCATATTTAAAATAGATGGTATTTGGTTGTCCGTATATCAAGTGGGAAAGTCCACGAACTGGTGAAGAGGCGCTTGGAGAGTCAGTACAAGAAAGTCTGCACCCGATTGTGCCTGATGCCGAGTTGCAAGCAATCTCGGCCCAACAGACTTCCGGGAGGTTGAAATCCCCTAGACCTAAACAATTATTCGCAGACTAAATGCGAATAAATTCAGGTATCCCACTGGAGGAAGTTCCATGACCTATGTATATCAGTACAACTGTAAACTGGGTTGAGGAAGTGCTCAAAGCAGCCAAAAGGGCTTCAATAGACTGCTCCCACTACTGAAAGGTGCAGGTCCTCAACACATCTGAGTTACAGCTCTCATACAGTATAACGCATCCGCCTTGACGACCAATGGAGCGATCAGTTCTAAGCAGGGCATAGCAAGGAAAATATGCCTCACCGTCTGTGATATCCGGCAACAACCACGTTTCAGTGAAAGCAAGTACATGGGACGAGATTTGTCTACAAGTAGACCCATCTCGTGCAACCTGTTTCTTAGGCCATGCACGTTGCTAAGTACTATCTCAAGGAACTCGGCACGACCACCTCTGGGCGTGCGCCATCAGGATGGGTTATGATACGACGAAAAATAACTTCCGGCTGGCCACCTGAAAACCAACCAGACGAAAGCCTTGCTCACCAGCCGCCCGACTAGTTTTGAGGTCTTCGATATTTTCCGTTAACTTTACTCTATCTGCCAGTGGTAGGTCCGGCTGAACGCTGACACCACTACTCTAAAGTTTGAATGCAAACAGCAGTAAGGATTTGCGTTCCTCCGGGGTAGAAACGACCAGGCTGATTTGGCGTAGCGATATGGACGTTCCTTAACCTGGTCAGCTTACTGCCAGTGACACCAGGGAAGCCGGATTGAAGCAGATTGCTGACACACTGTTTCTGCCACTTGATGTCATTCAAGATGCGTTCCCTTGGAAGAGCGGCCGCAGATTTAGTAACTTTACAGCATATAACGTTACTATCCTTGAAAGAGTCGGTACGACGAGGAGATTTTGCCTCACGTGCCTTGGATTCGACATCTATACCAGATATTTTCACCATTGGCCAAGCGACTGTCCTTGTCTTTACAAACGAGGTCGAAGCTACCGTAGCCTAGGTTTTTCGATTTATTGCCAGAGTATTGCTAGTCCCTGGGTCTTCAATTCCCTTCGAAGTTTTACGAGTAGATCTAGTCCGTTGTTCTCCTGGTTCACTGTAGCAGGGGACGTTGACCTTGTATCGCATCGAGCAGTTACCAGCACTTAGTCAGAACGGGCTGGTTCAGTGGAGGCCAAGATGGTCAATATCTTCGGAAGGTTCTCCTGTGCACAATCGTCAGACGACTGTACGACTGTCAAAGACGGCATCATTTTCGATGCCATGGCAACTAGTTCTTGGGGTTTATCGGAGGGCTTTTGATAGCTACGCACCCTATTTTTCTTCACATTGATCAGCTCATGAGGATAGACAGTACTGCTACCTGGATTGGCCGGTAGGATGTGTGACTTCATGACCGAGTGGCAGACCCCGTTGGATGGATCGTCAAATATGTTGCCGTCTATTGCAGTGTCTTCAATGTAAATATTCAGGGAATTAAAAAACAAAACCATTTTCTTTCCGAGCGACGCAATAGGTGCGAGTTTATCTATCGCCTTCTCAAAATCTGCTAACCATGGAGCCAGCGCTGAACTTTAGCACCGGTGATAGCCGGGCGCGTCTATCTTTAGGCGCAGTCTTCAGCAAAGCTAAAAAGTAGTGAACGCTGGATGATAGCATTTCGTACTGGTCAGTTTGTAGGCTGGTGCAGCTTTCGTGCTACAAGTGGCAGCAGACGTCACACTGCATATCGCCAGATAAAGCTGTTACTTGCTCTAAACAGTTAACTAGTCTGTAATCTGCAGTAAACTCGTCAAACGAGGACCCCATAGGTCCATCCGCCTCGGTGTATAGCGCGACAGCAATGTTCATGAGGAAAACGGAGTAGAATTATAACACACGTAAAATAGCATAACGACCGCAATAAAAAGGCAGAAACAGGGAGCAAAACGGGATTAAAACTTGGAACAGGTGGGGTATTTACTAGTAAGCGCCTAAGACTTTAATCACTTTAATCTATTCTAGTGAGCTTGAATCAGCTATAATTTGACAGTAGCCAAATTGCATTGCAAATGTTTATTAAAACACTGTTTTCCACGTCATTTCATCTAAACATTGAATTATTGCGCAGTACTCACAAGACAAGTCAGTGGAATGTGAGGAAATACTTTGTGCAGATGCAGATTCAGCTGGACTGGCGCGATAGGAGTATCCTTCGAGTGTTCCTGCTTGAGCAAACCGCTGAGCCAGGAAGGCTAAGTAGCTAGGGCATGATAGATCTAAAAGGAAAACCCGAAACGCACCCTGATCAAATAAGTACTGCCCACGTTCCCTGCACTAGCAGTCCCCGCTGTGTGGGTTACGTGAAGTAAGATAGAAGTAGAAAGTAACTGGAAGATAAAGGGAAATAAATGTCATTTAAACGTAGGATAACCCCATAAAGTGAGGTGAATGGCAGAATGAGAAATAAACTTTTGAAGATGGACAAGTTCAGGGGAAGGGAAATGTTTCGTGTTGCCACCCAAGTGCGTATAACTGAGGCTCAAAACCCTTAACCATAAGTACACTGACTACACTTTCTGAAAGCGAGTTCCGGCGCTCGATACCTCTAAGGGCTAAGTGGTCCAAATTTGGCTTGTGTAGCCTCATGGGATGACCGCGATGGTAAGGCAACCTAGTCTGGCTAAATAGTCAGCTCAAATCCGGTCCAACCTTCCCTGTTAAAATGCGGTAAGTAAGGATTAAGTCTCCTCGAAGCCATCGAAAGTGTATTGTATACACACCCAAGCTAAGTAGACGCTCTGGATAGGATTGTTCCCGTACCCACTCGACCAAGTTGGTATCTACTCTCAAAACCCCCTAGAGCTCTATTTTGTCCCTAAAAGGGCAGGGCGAGCAAGACTGGTCGCAGTGTTCCAGATGGGGCCGAACGAAAGCTGAGAACAGCTTCACAAATATGTCAGCGGTTAAGGTCCCGAAAGAACGGCGTATTTACCACAACAACCTGAAACCCCTACTAGCCCCCCAATTCCAGTTGTCATCAGAATGCAATACGAGGAATGGAGGACGTTTAGGTCTACCTGTTTGGAGACAAGGTGGATTTCGACCCAAATGAGTACATAGCTCGAAGGCGGGAAAGTTGCTTCTATACGAAGAACGGAACACTAAGTCTGATTTATGAGAAGTATCCACAAAGTTGACAAGTCCCAGAGTCTGTCCAGGGCACGCTGTATGGCCTCAGAAAATCAGGGTCGTTTGCAACATTCCAGAGCTTAAGGTCAGCAGCAAACATTAGGGATGATGCCCCAAGCTCTTCAGGGAGATCTTTTATGTAGATGGAGAAGAGCATCGCTCAAAGGACCAAGCCCTGTGGGACACCGCTAAGGACTGCTTGCCTAAAGGATAAGGTGCTACTCACACGTACACACTACTCTCTTCTCTGCAAGAACGCAGATACCCAGTAAAGGGCGAGGCAAGATATGCCGTGGGATCTCAGATTTTGTGATAGTCTCAAGAGGGGTACCTTATCAAATGCTTTAGGGAAGTCCGTAAGAAGCACATCCCCTACGTGGCTGTTGTTCATTGCCTCGGCCTAAGCTTCACGAGCAACTATCAAATGCGTCAGACACGAAACCCTTCCGGAATCCATGTGGTGCACTACTGAGTAGATTAAATCTATTCAGGTGACTGTCCAACAAATCGCTCAACAGCTTTTCAAGCAGTCTGACCACGACGCTAATCAGACTGACTGGCTTATAATTGGCTGGCGGACTTCTGTCGCCATTTTTAAGATAGGACAGATGACAGCCTCCTTCTATTCAGAAGGTAATGTACAACTGCCAATTGACTTCTGATACACCATCGTCAGTGGTCCACTTAGTTCCACCGCCTACCCATGCAGAAGCTTCCAACTGCTTTGGAAGGTTTCAGCTTTTGCAGCAGTTTAGGGACTTCCGTTTCCACCATAGTAAACTTAGCTAAATAAACTAAAAAATTAAATAAATAAATAAAATAAAACAAAAATAAATAAATAAACAGTATATACATAAATAACATAAAAATAAAATAAAATAAAAATGCTGGGGACAAGTTCATCGTTAGTCAATGCGGCCACACAAACAAAAGCCCCCTGCATACTGCTCTCCAAGTACACGAGCCTTAGCTGAGTCCGCATACGCACGAGTTCCATCGGCCAGAATCAAAGTTGGGATTACCAAATTTGAACCACATCATCACTAAACATAAGCGAAGAACTACTTCCGATTTTCCGATGCTCCATTAGCCAAGTCATTTTCGTATAACAGCCAAGCTTTCCTTAAATGATTTTTACACCTACTTCTAGCCTCGCGGTATCTACTGTAAGTGCTAGTTGATTTAGTCGCACGGCAGGTTCTCCAGCACCCAGAAGGCTTCCGGAGCAGATACTTGCCAGTGGCATCTATCCACGGCAGCCGCGCTCGTGTCTCCTTCCTCCTCGCAAACGGGACGTAGGGAGTAAACACCTCCGTGAGATAGGATGTAAATTTATTTCAGGTCGCCTGAACCGTATCAACCACCGAGATTTCGCAACGCAACCCAGAGGCTTTGATACGCATTGCCTGATGGTTAGCAGGCCACAGGTTTGGAAATGATTTAGTAATGATTTGGTGACGCCTGGTCAGAGTAAACCTGAATGATAAATGAACATGATCAAGAGTACCTAAGGGAGAGCTGTAAGTGAGGTCATCTACGAAGTCTATTGACTTGACCAACACCAGATCCAAAAAAGACGGGAGTTGGGCACACATGTACCTAGTGTGGAGGTCCACGGACTGATGCAACGGCACTTGCATTGTAAGCTCAAGTTGGTCTGCGCCGAAAGCACCTTCCGCCGAGTCGCAAGAAAGACCTGCCCAGCAAACTGCTGGTAGATTGAAATCGCTCGGTAACACACACTTGTTTACGGATTGGAAGCAAATAAAGTCAAGCACCTCTGTGGACGCACTCCCAACGCTTCTATACACAATTCCAACTGTAAGTTGAGCTGAGGAAGTGCTAATCACCACTGAAAAAGCCTCGATACTTTTACATGTGGACCGAAACATGTAGGTACGTGAAACGTCATGTTCACATC